ATCTATTTTGGATGTTAACCCCTGATCAGATACACGATTTGCAAGTGTCTTCTCCCATTCAGTTGGTTTCCTTTTCATTGTGTTGACGTTCCCTTTGCTGTGCAGAAGGTTATTAGTTTGATGTGGTCCCACTTGTCTATTCTTGCTTTTGTTCCCTTTGCTTTTGGTGTCACCTGCAAAAAGTTACCACCAACACTGATGTCACAGAGCTTACTGCTTTCTGTTCTTCTTCTTGGAATTTTATGATTTCAGGTCTTTTATATTTTTAATCCATGTTAATTTTTGCATATAAGATGGCAGTTTTGTGGTATGATATAAGACAGTTTTATTATTTTAAACATCTGTCCAGTTTTACTAGCACCATTTCTTTAAGAGACTGTCCTTTACCCATTGTATATTCTTGGCTCCTTTATTGTAAATTGACCATTTATTTAGGCATGGGTAAATTTCTGGGCTGTCTATTCTGTTCTCTCTAATGTGTCTATATTTATTCCAATGTCATACTGTTTTGATAACTATTACTTTGTAATACAGTTTGCAATCAGGGAGCATGATGCCTCCAGCTTTCTTCTTCTTTCTCAAGATTGCTTTGGCTATTTGTGGTCTTTGTGGCCCAGACAAATTTTAGGATTGTTTCATTTCTGTGAATAATGCTATTGGAATTTTGACAGAGATTGCATTGACTCTGTAGATTGCTTTGGCTAGTGTGGACAGTTTAACAGTATTAACTATTCCAATCCATGAACCTCTAATATCTTTCCATTTACTTGTGTCTTCAAGTTACTTTATCCATGTCTTACAGTTTTCAGAGTACAGGTCTTTAGCCTACTTGGTTAAGTTTAATCCTAGCTATTTTATTCTTTTTGATGCAGTTTCAAAGGGGACTGTTTTCTTAATTTCTCTTAAATTTTTGTATATTGATTTTGTATCCCTCAGCTTCACTGTATTATTTTGAATAGTTTTTTGATGGAGTCTTTAGGGTTTTCTATATATAAAGCCATGTCACCTGCAAATAGTGACCATTTAACTTACTCCATTCCACTTTGGATGGCTTTTAATTTTTCTTGCTTATTTGCTCTGGCTGGGACTCCCAATACCGTGCTGCGTGTGAGTGTCAAGAGTGGGCATCCTTGTCTTGCTACTGAACTTAAAGGGATACAGCTTTCAGTTCTTCACCATTGAGTACGGTGTTATCTGTGGGTTTGCCAAATATGGACTTCATTATGTTGAGGTATGTTCCCACTACACTCACTTTGTTGAAAGGGTTTTTTTAATCATAAATGGGTGTTTTTGTCAAATGCTTTTTCTACATCTTTTGAGATGATCATGTAATTTTTATCCTTTTTGTTAAAGTTATGTATCACACTGATTGATTTGCGG